GAGATGTCAGAACATCGTGGGGCGGGTGACGTGCGGAATGTCGGCGTCGCGCGCTTGCAGTTTTACGCCGATGCCACTCTCGAGATCACGGCAGAGTTAAAGGAGGTTTGTCAGCATGCTTTCATGCAGGTGAAGTTTGAGGTGGCGGTGGTCGTAGACATTTCGGTAGCGGAAGAAGGCCCTGGGTATGATGTGATGTGTAGTGGATCGGTTTCGACAAGAGAACAGCTGGGAAGAGCTGTCAAAGTTCTGGGATGCCGCACCGCAGTTTGTCAAACCCGAGCTGCGGCGGCTGAGTCTTCTGCCGAAAAAGGTTCGGGCTAAGTTGAAGCAATAATACGGCATTGCCTTGTGATTTCTCAGTCTGAGTTGAAGGAGGGCCGTCTTTCTTGCGTATTGCTGCGTGGTAGCGATTCAATACCTCGCAGTAGTCTTATCCGCGATGCTGATGGGGCACGAATGACGATACACAGCAGCGTGAATTTGGCACTCTTATGGTGTAGTTTTTTTTTCTTGATGCACATGCACACACCCACGATGAACCAAATGATGAAGTCTTCCCGCTATGCGGAGGTAAACATGCACATCTGAAAGGGACACGCATGCGGCATTTACCTGGCGGCGAGCGTATCACAAATCACACGGCCGAGGAGCATGAGCTGCAGCAGCGTATACAGACATGGGATGGTAACAAATACATGCAGGATAGAAAGATGCCCGCCACATACGCCTTGATCAATCAAGCCTCTTAATCTCCCGCCAACTGAAGGCAAGCAATTGCATACATCACGGGACATTACGACAACAAAACGAACACATGCACCACAAACAAAAGCCGGTGATGGCCATGACTTTGATGCGAGCGACCCACAGCAGCAGCAACAGCATCAGGCGGGTAATGGCTTTCGGAAAGACAGTCAGTAGCGCGGAGCAAGTACGTAGGAACCTGGCTGAACCGATCTCGGGTAACGATCCTGATAGCGCACAGCAGTAGACCCTCGCACCTTCGACTGTTTCTCTCGATGGTAGGTGTGATCATTGGTCGGTCCAGTTGATCGATCTGCTGTAAGTTACAAGTCGGTTGGATCCCGCTCAACATCAATGAACACCGCGGCCAGGCTACACATGGCGCATGACTAACACGGCGCACAGGTCGTATATATTGGCTCGGCCCCTCCTTGTTTTCAAAGCTTATCTCAGATGAGCGTCCCAGGAGTGATGCGTTTTTTGGTATTGTTGTTGCGTCGATGTCTCTGTTTCTTCTCCGGGTTTGAACCGCGCGCGCGCAATGTCGGCTTTTGTGCAAGATCTCCTACGAATTTAGGGCACAAACGCTTGTGACACACGGCCAAAGGCTGTTGAAACACGTCCGCACCAGTGTGACGAAGAGCGCGCGCGTTTTCTTCTTCCTCAGAAGCGAACAGATCGTCAATCGGTGCCCTGTCCTTCTCACGGCTGCACTCATGGAGTGGCTTCTACGTCTCCGACGCCTCCTGTAACTTCGGTTGCTCCGGCTCTGCAGTCATCTGCTGCCCCTGACTTTTCGGAGTTCTTGTCGCGTTTGGTGTCGACGGTTCCCGCGAATTCGCCTTCGATCTCCACTGCTGCTCTACCTTTGGATGGGTTGTAGTCGACGTACCAAGAATCGACCCCCTCTTCTATCGAGGCGGCTTTACATTTTTCGGCGGATTTAGCCTTCAGGGCGACTGTCACACGTTGTTCGCATGCTGATTGGGCTTGCGAGCAAAGTAACATATCTGTGTGTGATGTAGCGATTCGTTTTATTTTTCTGGGTCGGCCTTCGGCTCTCCCTTCGGGTTCCATTGATCATCTTCCGTCCGCTCGTCGACCTTCTCTATCGGAAATTCGCGACCGGTCTTTCAAAGGCCAGCTACATGTTGACGATGATGGTTTGATCTTGCTTGTTTGCGAGCAAACAGCCCCCTCCCATCGTCGGCAACCACACGTCCTGGCGGGAGTGCTGCTCGCATCCTCAACAATGAACCCATTCGGATTTATGCTCCCATGCTCATGCGTCCATGGATCATGCAAACTTGTCACGTTGATGCGTCCTGCCACCTCGGTGCAGCGTGCACTCTTTGCATGCCGGAACGTTTCTATTGGTGGGTTGGCATAAATGTTTGTTCGAAGTGGTGGGTGCGGTATTGTTTGTGATGCCAAGCCCGCAAAACGTCTCGTCAGACGCCTCGATGGCCTAATTTGTTTCATCCACTTCCTTCGAACCCTGGTGTGTCGGTGAGCATCATTTTCTTTATCCCCCCCCGTTGACACCGCGTGGAAACAAATACATTCTGCTCTTAACAGACCGTTTCAGCCGCCGTGCTGATATGTATGCGGTTTCGGCTGCAGACCTCACAGCCGAAGGCACGGCTGACATCCTTGTCAATCGGCATATCCCTTTGTGTGGTTGCCCGTTGAGTGTCTTGTCTGACAACGGCTCTCATTTTTGTTCTTAACTGTCGCAGGCTGTGAACGCCCGCCTTGCTATTCGCAAAGTGGCTACTAGCTCTTACCATCCCAACAACAATGGTAGCGTGGAGCATGTCAATCACACTATCGCTCAGATGTTGGCTATGGTCGTCAACAAGAGGCAAGATGATTAGAACATTCATCTCCCGCACGTTGAGTTTGCCTACAACGAATCGGTTAGTGCCGCTACTGGTTTGGAGCCCAACGAGGTGCATATGAACCGCCTGCCACGCTTGCCGATGACGATGCTTGAGCATCCACATGCCGAGGCCACCACAGCCTGATCAATACCGCCAAACGAATCACCGATATCGGGCGATGCTTATTGGTGCGGTAACCGGGGAACTGGCGGGCGCAAAACGATCGAACTTTGCTTCCAGGCTACTCGCTCTTCCTTTGTTCATTATGGGACCGTCGCCTCGACAATACTCCGCCACCTGTTGGCGCCTTTTTCTGGTACAAAGCACGCGATGGATTCTGGTGGTTGGGCAACATTTCTGGACCACCTCTACCGTCCCACTTCTTCTACGTCATCCACTTCTTGGACAACCCTGGACCTATCAAGCAAGCCCTTCCTGATGTTCGCTACTCCGCCGTCGAAACCGCCGTCTCCGGATGCTGGTGCCTCCAAGCTCACAGCGGCAGCACCCTTTTCAAGGGGATTCTTCGCAACATCGACATGTCGCGTGGCGGCGTAGTTGGGGACTCGTTGCCCGATGACTTCGTGCGCTCCCATTTAGATGGCATGCTTGGTTGCTTTTGCCTTCTGTTGCTTTTGTAACAGCATCATTTGTTTTCGTTGTCTCGTTTTATTTTTGCAGCTTCAATAGTCCGCCAGACCCTGCCGAGGTTGGTGTCACGACCCGTTTTCTTTTTTGCTTCGCTTCCGAAACGCTTGGTTTCCGGCCTTTTTGGTACGTTGTGGTGCTTCTGTACGTTTTCGGTGTGTTTTTGTCTCTAGGTCTTAGGGTTTGCGGACTGTAGGTGTTTTGTGACCTTTGTTGTCGCTCCCACGCTACCGTGGTGATTGAATGGCGTATCTTATCGTTTTGTCGATGCAGGCCTTTTTCACCGTTCCGACGACCTTCCTGCTTTTCGTCGTTCCGATGACGTTCGTTCCTCTTCGTCGCTCCAGCGACGCTTACTTTTTTCGTTTCTCTCGTGTCCTCGTTTCCACTTTCTTTTGGGCCTGTTCTGGTATTTGAAGCCTTCGCCTATTGCGGCTCTCCCGTTGGTTTCCTTTCTGTTAGCCCCAGTTTGTTCCTTCCTGTACCTTCTTTTTTAGAGGTCAAACGATCGTCTTGCGACTCATCGAGTGAGAGGGGTGGGAGGGTGAATTGTGGTATGTTGGAGCTCCGCAACCATCCTCGAGACTCTCATTTAAGATTCGACAAGTGATCGTCAAGTTCCGAGATTTACGTATCTGCGTATGAGAACCTCCAGGGTGGGCTAGTGTTACGGGATTCGCGGGTATAGGAAAGTACCAAACGGTAGTTGGGGCTAGAGAAAAGCGCGGGACATATATCTCCCGATGGAAGGATAATGCAAGGGACAGAACCTTTGTAGCCTCTGTTAGAGGGAGCTGGTTTGCCCCCACATGCTCAGTCTACCACAGAGAGCAAGGGATCAGCATGCACTGCTATCCATATTAATCAACAAGTGAGTCTTCACCAGGGTCTTCAGGGATTGCTACGCGTGTCTCTACTATTACACCAATAGATGTCGTTCTGGTCCCGAAGGTGCGTTATTTCCGCTTCCTCGTAATCAAGTTTTGTTAGGGCCTGTGTCGCGCGGCGCAACATTGGCCGATGTGTAGAGCCTTTTTTTACCTCCTGGGAGCGAAGGGAATAAATGTCGCGCTTCGCGCTACGCCTCTCATTGTAACACCCCTCCTACAGCAGGGGTAGCTCAAACACACGTGTGCCTTCTTAGACAGCCAAGGCAGGGGGGTCAATCGTCGATGAGCATGAAAACTAGCCCCGTCAACTGCCCAAGTTCACCGCAGACGACGCTTTGTTGTTTGGTTGGGTTTTTTTGGGGGCGTGTTTCCTACCCACATCCGATCATCTGGTTGGGCCCACAGACAGGCGTTTTATACACCCGTGTTGCAAGTCCTACAAAAAACAGAACAATTAGGACAAAGGGGCCGCGCCAAAATCGATGATACCCCCCGTAAGCCCCCATGATGGGTTGCCCATCGCATCATCTGGTGCGCACCCTTGTCACTGCCGGTGCTCCCCACACAGATGGCAACGTGCCATGGAACTTGCAGGATGCCTCAAGGATGTTGTGTTCTACACGCGCAGACATTTGGTTTGGCCTGTTTTTGCTCTGAGCCTGGGACATGCCGTGCCTTGTCGTAACAAAAAAACGATTTCTGTAGAGACTTGCAACACGGGTGTATACCACGTTCATGCACTCGTTCACCACAAGAACAGTTAGAGGTGTCAAAGCGGAAAAATTCCTATAGGAAAAAATTCGAAAAAGCGTCCTCGGATCTTGCTGATGGAAAATCGACCAACCAATGAAATTGCACGGAACCGTCGGAACCTCCCGAAAAGACCCTCTGACGCACACGCGCGAGGGCGCAGCTCGCCTGTGTGCTTTGCGCCCTACTATGGGGCACAGCACAACACCATTGCGCGGTCCCACTCTAGAACAAATGCCTCTTGACACACCCGAGCAGCAGCCGGGCGGTGAAGCCACGCAGACACCTGCCGCCGCCGCCGCTGCTGCTGCTGAAAAATATAGCAGCAGCAGCAGCAGCGGCGGCGGCGGCGGCAGCGAGGTTGAGCCTGGCTCTCTTCCACAATTTTCTTGATTTCGACCAACTCCTCCTTCGTTTCCTCCAGCGTTCTCGCTATGACGGTGAGACTGCCGCGTTTGATAGCGCGCCGCGTGTTATCTTCTGCTGACGCGGCAACCATACACTGCCCCGTCCTCTCNTATAGCAGCAGCAGCAGCAGCGGCGGCGGCGGCGGCAGCGAGGTTGAGCCTGGCTCTCTTCCACAATTTTCTTGATTTCGACCAACTCCTCCTTCGTTTCCTCCAGCGTTCTCGCTATGACGGTGAGACTGCCGCGTTTGATAGCGCGCCGCGTGTTATCTTCTGCTGACGCGGCAACCATACACTGCCCCGTCCTCTCTTCAAACTTCGTTTTGTTTTGATTCAGCTTTTGCGCAGCGCGCCTCCTGCTGCCAAACGGCGCGGACCTCGATTTTTTTTTTTCAAGGGTCTACTGGTGTGGGCGCTGCAGCCCCACAGGAGGGGCCGTTTTCAGACATGTAGATCTCGTGGTTGGCTGATGCGATTCGGATGCGGTGTGTTGTGTGGTATAGCTGTAAACCCAAGGTAGAGGACTGTAGGGTCGCTTCCACGAGAGGAGCAAAGGTCACCTTGGGCGTGGAGCAAAGAGCCCAGAAAAACATATTTTTTGGTGTTGTTCGTCCGCCCTTCAACTTTAAGAGAAAACCTACCCTACAGTCACCTCGATTGGACCTGTCCAGGTGTGTGTAACGCAGGATGAGTCACGCTGCTGTCTGGACGCAGAGCTGATTGACAAACAAATTCACATGATGTATAGTTTATTCAGTATGAACAGCGGGATTCTCAACAAAAAAAAAAAACTCAATCCGCGTGCCCCCCTCAAATTTTGCCGAATGGACCGGACGATTTTTTGGCTACGAATTCCGCCGCTTTGACACCCCTAACAGTGGTACTATTCCATGTTCAGACAGGAGGAAACGTAGATTATCGCCCTTTGACTCTCCCCCCTCCCGTCAATGCCCCGTCCGGCTTATTTTGGGGGGAGAGGAAAGGAGCCTACATCAGCAGCCTGGGATCCGCTCATATGCAAACAACGACCAGGGCGCGTTCTGGGTAATCTCGCACGTAACCAGATGTATGTACGGCAATAGTAGTATTTCCTCGCCAGAAGAGCAGTAGTATATATACGTAGAGATGTGTGGGGGGGGATGTTATCTTTTTCGCTTAAGTGCCGGAACTTGAGAAACTTCTGTGGGCAGAAACGTTTTCGACAAGCCCCCGCGAGCGTGATAACGAGGAACACGCGCCGGCACCCAATCGCGATGATATCGGTTCAACGAAACCCCGAACGCGTGATCGCAGGCGTCACTTTTTACCGCTGCTGACAGATCGCCGTCTGCCGGGTTGACTCATGGCGTGCGGTAGCTCAGTCCGCCCTTCATCGCCACCATCACTGTAACCTCTCCTGTCGTCGCCGCTCCTGTCGTCGCTGCTCTCATCAACGGCGGTACCGCTGCTCCGTTCGTGAGTGCGTGCGTCCCGGCCGGTCGCCGCTGCGGGGAACACACATGACTGCCGTCGGTCCTCGTCTCGCTTCCGGTGTTGCTGTCGATGCTGCCGCTCCCGCCACGAGAGCCCGCTGCTCGACCGTCGCCCCCCCCCACCGCCGCGGGGAAAATCCTGCCGCCGGGGGTCACCATTCTCGCCGTCTGTGCTGCTACCGATGGCAGCGCTCTATCTAGCAGCGAGTGCATGCACCCCGGCCGTCCCGACGGCTGGCTTTGCGGGGAACGCACATGACTGCCGGTGGTCCCTCCTCTTGCCGCCGGTGCTGCTGCCGATGCGGCCGCTCCCGCCACGAGTGCCTGTGGCCCAACCGTCTCCCCCGCCGCCGCCGGGAAACCCTTACCGCCGGGGGCCACCACTCTCGTCGCTGATGCTACTACCAATGCTGCCGCTCCCTCCGTGAGTCCGTGCGCCCCGGTCGTCTCCCACTGCCAGCGCATGGGGAGAACTACTTGAGGCGTATTTTCGTGCTATTCTTTCGCGTTTACTTCTTTTTTCTAGTATTGTGTCATCGGAGGTGTTCTCTGGCTTTGTCATCGTCGGCACCATAGCTTCAAGGTCTTCATCGCGGTCTGGATGTCTTCATTCTTTCGTCACTTTGTTTTTGTTGTGTCTCGTGCTCGAGTGTTACCGTAGCCAGCAGTTGCGGCTTCCCGTTAAAAAAACAACGAAAGCTTCAGAAAGGCAACGCCGACGAAACTCGCCGTTCAGTTGCACACCAATAGAAAATGTGCACAGAATACAAACAACCTCACAGTAGCTCTAGCAGACTGCCAAGACTCAACAAGCAATGTCCTGAAATTCTGAGAAAGAACATCTCCAATTGGACCCCTTCGTTGCCAGCAGGCAGCAGGCAGGTTAACAGAGACCACCAACCAAGCAGTGCCTCAAGCCCGAATAACAAAAATACGATCCAACTGCCAAGCGTTAACAAAAGCTGCTGTTGACTCCGAGGCACAGCTATGCAGCTGGTTGCTGATGTGCCCAACAAGCTGCATCTCATTTAGAAGACGTAATTTAGAAGACGTACGCTCTTTGCAGGGAAATCAAGTACGCGGTGCAATTATGCACGAAGATTCTCGAGGCGAAATGGTCGATCGAAAGAAGCTACCGCTGGTGTTGCCTTTCGATCGTATTCCGCTAAAAATGATGGTTTGAACAGTGTTACCGCCTCATTTTGGTGCTTTTATTTTGGATCGGGTGGTATATCTAACTTAAGAACTGAACATTATTGATTAGGTTTCCTGGTGTTGTGTGTTGTTATTGTTGTTGGTTTAAGTTTTCTTCACATTGAAAACCGTTTCTTTCTCCGCTCAGTACCTTCAAACACCGATGCTACTACTGGTACAATAACAGTACAGCCTGAAATTATGAGTGGGGTTTTTCTTGGTCACAAAGTGGTGGCATCGTGTATGGCCACCCACGGAAAAAGATACACGTAGCATATGGCCCACACAACAAGGCATGTACAATCAATCCTTGGAGTTGACCCAATACACAACTATTCTCCATGATCACCGGTTTGGTGTGTGTAGTGTACTCGCTCGTGAGCGCAAATTTCTACGTATGTCAACTTTCTCACGGATACAAGAAAAAGCACACAATGGTTCCAGCATGTGAAATCCCATTCAATCATGCGTATTGTCCACGTGACTACTGTCACCCCATGAATATGCACACGCGGAAAACTGCGGACTGTGCAAATAACAAATATTGCCCACTATTGAGTGATATATATTCGCGTCAACTTGCGTCAACCATTCGTACGATGAAGTGTGCTTCTTGATTATCATCAACCATATCCGTGCGTATGCACACGCTGAATACTGTGGACTGCACAAATTTTCAGACGCAAGACCAAATGGTGCCGATAGAAGCAGGTTAAGTCCTGCGCATCGGTCTTGTGGGTCGAGCCTCGATTTGTGGTTGTCACCTCGTGCTCCCCAGTCCCCCGACATTGTGCCGGCCGTACGTAGAATAGAGATAAGTTGTAAATACGTCTGTACGTGTAAATGTGTGTCTCAGTGTGTGTCGTGTGTATTGCTGAGCGTACATAGTGTAAATAGTTATTGTCAGATCTCGTGCACAGCAGAGAGAGGGGCCTTGCATGCTCCTGCTGGCGGTGACGTGATAGGGTGGTTGGCATCATGTCATCCACATCGGACTGCATTAGCTCGTGCGCCAGAACCGAGGTAAAATTAAGTTTAGTTAACGTAGGATATGTGTCGTTAACGAAAGATATGTGTCGATAAGGCGGGGACGACTGTATTGTAAGAAGCATGCGAGTTGCTCTGTATGTTGTTGTTTTCACGTTCAAAAAACGTTCCGTTCTATTTGCCCACCTTCCTCTGTCCGTACTTGTCCAACGATTGACGGGGTCGAAACCCGTGATCACAGGCTAACTTACCCAAGAAAGGTATACGAAAATAAAATGGACCCCTGAAGAGTCCGCAAGCCAAAAAAAGTCAAGGAGAGATTGTCTAGGCCACTCCGCTCGCCTCTACACGCTGTGCGAGGTATCTGTAGATTGGGAAAACGATCGAAAAGAACAAAGGAATAGAAAGAGAGCAAATGGAGAGAACGGAAGAGAAGGAGAATGACAGACAGATAAGACACACGCCGTACGGATAGACAACAAACAAACATACAGAACGACACAATACCACAAAAGACAATGCGGGCCACTCGCGCTACTGTAGCCCATGTACTTCATCGCTCGCGGGGGTCGGTGCAATGATGCAGTGCCGGGGCGGGGGGGGGGAGGAAAAGCCAAGCAAGGGGTTGAATTCGGCACGGCGTTTCGCGTTTTCTGTCCTTCCTCGCCGTCTCATCCGCCTGCTGTACCCCCCTCCCCCGGTGGTTGTTGCCGTGTCTGTGTTGTTATCGGGCTTCTTGTTTCGTTTGAGCGCTCGTTGTCGGCTAGCCTCCTTTCCCTTCTTGTGCGAGGAGGCCATGAACCTCTTAGCTCCCTGCAGTACCCCTGTATGCCACGGGATCCCCCCTGTCCACCTTCGCTGTTTCCATCCATCCAAGTTGTTTCCGGGACTCCAAAAAAGCACGGCTCGGCGTCCGTAGATCGGTGCTCTGCTTTGAACATCTTGAGATCGTTTTTCAGGCACATCTGCCAGTTTTGTTCCGGTTCCCCAGAACCTCGTGTACCTAGAGGGGGAGACCGGAGCGGAGACGAGGACACCACATGACCGAGTGCGGAGGGCGGTATGCGGGATCCTGTATGCCGATGACGCTGGCGTCGTATCGAGGTCTGCCGAAGGACTGGCGAGAATGATGACCGTTATCGTGGAGGTGTTCGGGCAGTTCGGGTTGACGGTATGGGAGAAGAAAACGGAGACGCTCCTGATGCGTGCAAAGGAGAAGCAGACAACAACACCACCGCCCCCCCACCCCACCACCGCTGACCATAGAGGCAGCAGGGTAGGGGTATGTCCAGACGACTGAATTCCGGTACCTAGGTGGCCTCGTCAACGAACATGGTGACCTCATCCGGGAGATTAATTACCGAAGCAGAGCAGCGTGGGCGTGCGTCAGGAGATATGGCCAGGAGCTCTTCGACAGGCCGAAAGCACCGGTCCGACTCAAGACTCGCCTTCTCCAGGCCGAGGCGATGAAGGCAATGCTGTACGGCTGCATGACATGGGCCCCACATCAAGGCCAATAGCGGACGTTGCGGACGATACGCCACCGACTCCTCCTGCGAGTTATCGGTTACCAACGCAAGAAGGGCACCTACTGGCAGCTTTCATACGCCCAGACCGTGAAGAGGGTAGGGTACCAGAGTCCACTATCCGGCAACAACGGCTGCTGTTCGCGAGAGCGCTGGGAAGGCAGCCAGACGGATGACTCCCGAAATGGGCGATGCTTAGCGAACGGGTAGGGGGGAAAGCCCAGGCAGGGTCTGCAGAATAACATCATCTCCGCTAAATCGATTGACAACGACCTCGATGAACGCGTATAAGAAGATATTGAGCAGCAGTGGGGACAACACACCCCCTTGTCGTAGGCCTTGTGTGACCAAGAACCAGACCGATAACTCTCCGTCGTCCATGCGCACTCGGGCCCGCATTCCGTGTGGAATTAGCAAATGACGGCGATGACCTCCTCGGGAATCCCGGCCCTGGCCAGGACCTTCCACAGTAGCTCTCGGTCCACCGAATCATACGCCTTCTTCAGGTCGACGAAGCACATGTAGAGTGGTATTTTCCTTCTCCGTCCCAACTCCTGGAGTCGGCGCACGACCAATAGCATGTCGATGGTGGATCGCCCAGGTCGGGACCCGCATGGTTCTTCCGGGAGGATGTTGTTGGTTTCGCAGAAGGTGCTTAGGCGGTTGGTGATGATCTTAATTGGGACCTTGCCTACGTGAGATATGAGCGAGATTCGCCTGAAGTTGTTGCGGTCCGACCGGTGACTCTTTTTGTACAACACGTTGATGGTTGCGTCCTTTCACTCATGGGGGATCTCTCTACCGTCCCACAGCTCAACGAGGATGGCACAGAGGTCTCCTTCTGTTTCGGTTTCGTCCGGACCGCTCTGTTGTGGGCAAGCCTGCCACCGAGGTTGACGGTGGTTTATCACCATGTTGTGGTCTGTGTGTGTGCTACTATAGAACTATATCTTGTGCGTCCAAAATGTGTGTATTGTTGACCCTGTGTACGGCAGCGATATTTACGATGCCTGCACTCACTGCTGCTGCTGTTCACGTGTCTGATCACAAACGTGTATTAAATAGTGAAGGCTTCTGATCTGTAAGTTTTGCATTTTGCAACGTGATAATCAGTGGTTTCCTCTCTGCAACCAACCTGTAATGGATACGGACCTGATTGGACTGTGAGGTGTGTGCGACAGAGGCGACAGACGGCCCCACTGCATGACGAGACAAGCAGCGCCCGTCCCGTGTTACACTGGATTTCATAGATCTGAGAAATTTGGCGACAGACACTGAAGTATACAAGCCGGGCGTACATGACACCTGCAATGTTGTGTGTGTGAGCAGAGAGACAAGCCCATGCGTTTGAGCTGCACACTCACCACGGTTGGCAGTCGCGCTGCGTATGTTCCATCAATACAGTAGTACTAGTCTACTGTTGCAGTAGTTTTGCAGACTACAACGGTGTTTTCTTTGGGTATAGTTTCTAATATATAAAGGATCCCCAGGAGGAAGACTCTTTGCATTACGTTTTCCTGGAGATTATGGTCCCTGTTGTATGTATGTGTGGGTACGTTCGGGTGTGTTCAGTGCGGTGTGCGTCTTCTTTAGTAGCATCGACCGTATGTGACTGTGTGGGTGTACTCTGTTGACCGGCAGCGATATCTATGATTCCTGCACTTACTTCCTATTGCACGTGTATTTCGGAAGTATTTCAACGCGGCGGGTATTCAGTTCCGTCAAGCAAAATAGAACTTCCAACAGGGAGTAAGATGCGTATCCACAGCAGCAGCGGCTGGCTGTGGTCCACGGCAAGCACAGTCTGGAAGGAGGCAAGGTGATGAGATAGGGGGCTCCGTGGACCATTTCAAAACAAAAAACATTCTGCGCCTATCGACGTATCTCGATGAGGCGATCACAAAATCTCTTTGTCACGTTTCAATTCGTTTTTTTTTTTAGAAGTTTTCACACGACACGTGAATGGACAACCAATGTGCTTTGCATGACCAGGCTCCTTGCGGAAGTGGCCCCTTGCAGGCGTGGGAGAAGTGATAAATGTAGTGGTACAGTAGAGATCTCTGTTTAGTGCCGGTTGTCGGTGTAGTGCCGGTCAAATCTCGGCGCACAGACAGAGCCCCTGGGTAGTGCCAGGCCGGCACTATTGAGGAATGCCTACCATAGTGCCGGTTCACGCACCCACACACCTCATGGAGTCCAAAACGTTGCGTTGAGAAGCATTTTCTGTTTTCAGCCGACTGACACTGACGACGTATTTATTGTCATCGTTCAGCCGGATAGAATCCACATATACACACACACTTTGATAGAGGGTCCGCCAATAGTAGTTGCAATCATAAGCGATGAGAGTAGTGGTGAAACAAAGGAGGACGGTGAAAGCACTGCGAAACGAACCGCGTAAAATGCGGCAGCCGGAGACAATTGGAGTATTTGAGCTTGGCCGGAATGGTTTGATCCTTTTACGGCCAAAGCCACAGCTGTAAGGTGTTTTCACTTCGAATATCTTTTGCGATATTCATGTGAAGGGTTTACGCGACATTTCAGGCGATGTGCCTGTCCCGCCCAGTTTCTACAACAAAATCTGTGTTCGACAGGGTAGGGACCATTACTATCGTGTCACAGCAGTCTACCCGCGCCGCCCATGCCATGATCTCACCATTTACCTTAGATGCGGTACTCTGTTGGCCCCGTAAAGCGTATGCGCTGCACTCTGAAATCACACTGTTGTCCTCAATAGTGCCGCTTTGGCACCATTCGGGCACTCTGAACAATATTGCCGGTGCCCGGTATAGTGCCGGTGGAATTTCTGCGCACACCCCGGCACTAAACAGGGACCTCTACTGAAATGAGGATAACTACCTCCTTAGCGATTTTTAGCGATTCCGACACAGGTCAGTGGAGTTGATGCCTGGCAGAAGCCGATGAAAAATAAGCCGGAACAAGCATACTCGATAGGCTCTCATAACGTTTTTAACACCCGTGGACACCTTGCAACCTCAGCGAGCAATGTGTAAAAGCTCCGGTCTGACGCAGGAAGGCAGAAACGCTGCTTTAGACGACTCTCAATTTAGAGCAGACGTCGCTCAACGAAAAAAACATGTGCTCTGGATGCCAGCTTCACGCCAATATATCGCTTGCACGGAATGTCGGATTGGAAGAGGGTGCAGCAAGTGTCTTAGTGTTCCCGTTGCCACATTCTATTTAGCTCGTCCTCCAAAAACCCCATTAATAACTAAGCTAACTGAAAAAAACTGTGGTAAATCAGAATTGTGCAGGAACATTTGAGAGTTCTTTCCGTTTCGGATTTTGGACGGAACAGTCGTCTAACAAGAGCGCCAGGTGAGACGCCAGAAAACACACAACTTGTCGGGTGGAGACCCCAGAACTACAAGTAATATTAGAACAATATGCGTGTATAGCAGCGCGCTCTCGCAGCAGGTACAGCAGAAACGTATGACATCATACCTACTTTGTTTCATGTTTCATGACCACCCTTTTCGCACCTGGTTTTATCTAACCTACATGTATATCCCTTTTTGGAATCTGCCTCCACGATTCCATCAGAAGTGCCAGCTCCGGCACTATAATATTCATGCTACCGAGGGATCCCCACTGTACTACGAAAACGACATCAACACAGCTTACGTTAGCTAACGGAAACACTTGTGAATACTACTGTGCCTTGTGGAAGATTGAGAAACCAAATGTGAACATCGACACCACACTTATGTACTCTTGTCATACGATTTAAGCATTTCTGTTCCTGAACCTCTGCGCGAAGTCGCTAGAGGACTCTGCTCCCGGAGACTTGGGACCTTGAGCAGGCTTCGATTGAGCGCGGCGCAGGCGTTCTTGGAGACCAGCTGTTGTACCGCTGCTAAAGCTCTTGCTGCTGCTGCTGCTGTTCTGCTGCTTCAGCAGTTGCGGCCTGCCAAAATACCAGCGCCATGTATGTTACATTGGTTTGAAAAAAACAGTAGTTCGGTCTGGTAGTGAATCTACCCAACTACGGGCTTTCACGCGCCCTGATTGGTCGAGCGTTGGTTCAGGCGGTCGATTCCTCTCCAGCGCCCTCTCACTGTTCCATATTCCGACAACGCGGCGCAGCCGCGTTCTCGCCCAGTGCGCCGCCGCTAGGCCATGCGTTGGCCGTGTGTTGGCCATGGGTTGGGTTGGGTCGGCCACGGTGTGTGTGTGACACATACCGTGTGCGGAGCTACATATACGGTTCAACGTCCGTTCAGACCTAAACGAGTCACCATAATAACAGACCATAAATAGACTACATGCAGAGATACAAAGGGAGCAGAGAAATCACGACGAAACCCACCTGCCACCATCCGTCCCCACAGCGTCTCGTGCACCCAAAACACCCATCCTCCTCCGTATCTCCTGGAGGCGATTGGTCGATCGAGTGTCGTCCTGATCTGCGTGGGACATTTGGGTGCCGGGTTGGAGGCCATTGTCGAACGTTAGAGACTTGCGCGCGCCATCGTCCTGCGCGAGCGTCGCCGCCGCCTGCCCTTTCCGCAGGCTTCCATGCACGTCCGCCATTCGCCCACGTAGTGGCGTGCTCCGTAGTCCGGCTTCAGCCGATTGTTGTTGAGCTTTACAACCTTCGAGAATGAACTGGCGAAACCGTGGCTTTAACCGGTCCACCTGAAGAGAGGTGAACAGATGTGGACACTTCAGGGTCAGAAAAATCTTCTGCCGTACGAAATAAGTAAGCCCCCTGATTTTGCCCCAACACTTCACGTGAGGTACAACAATGACCGAGGTAACGTAACCTGATGTTCAAGTGTCGATTGGGCTTCAGGCCACCTCTGGACGAAAGCCTTAAGCTCGGTCAACGCAGCTGAGCCATCGCTGCCATCACCGACGTTCTGGGATTCCGCCGAAACCAGTCCGATGAGACGTGCAATCTCTGCCACGTGGTCGGTCTTGATCGGAGCGACTTGGGACGAATGCCGGCGGTCGGCCTGCTTGCCAATTCGACAAGGAAATTGAAAATGGAGACACATTGTCAGGGCGACATTTCAAAAAGGCAATCGTGACATACGTTGTGTATTTTATTGAGCAACTGCCGGTCGCCCCGAAAACCTTGTATTGGCCAGGGTCAGGGGTTCGAACCCCGGCGTAAGCGAGCTTTTCTTGCGAAATGAGTTTTTCTCTCGCTTCCGTACCTTGCTTGGGTGGAAAAGCGCTTGTTCGTGTGTAGACCGAGGAAAGATAATAATGCACTCTTCCCTCAATCATAATCGAAGGCAAAGCACGGCAGAAGGGGTGGGTATGGGGCCTCAGGGAGAGGAACCCTTGTGTGTGACCACAGGTTGGAGTAGACAGCACATATGCTGTGAGCGCTGATTTGAAATGAAGACGACACAACGAAAAACATACCGTATTGAACTAGACCGTCACGCCTACCGTATTTTCCTTCATGGTGACCAGGCATCGACCCAAAGTTGTTGCCCATGCTTCGACGCTCGCCGCGCTCTCGGAACCTTCTTCCTCCCTGCGAAAAAATTAGGGGAGATGTGCTGATCAAGTCTCTGAATGTACTCAAAGGGTGCGTGCGACCTGGGAAACAGGTGGTCAACCTGCAAAAAGCCGTACCTGATGACGTTGGAGGTTCCGACCACCGCTGAACTTCCAAACGCGCTGCAAAGACGTTCGCAAAACATCGACACCAAGCGTTGCGCGGCGTCAAATGCAGTTCGGTCTTCCATGTTGCTGTGATTCACCGCGGCCCGCTGCTTCTCGGCGAGGTGATACTTGTGCAGCGCCCGTAGAACAAGCGGAAGGCCAAGCCTGGGGAGCGGTAAAGCAGGCTCATGGTCAGGTACGTGATAGCCGCACGATGTTGAGTTGGGAAGCCGACATACACCTCACAACAACGAGGCGCTTGAACGTGTAGCCGGTCAACCCGATGGTCAGGGTGGTACGAACTTGAGGGATAGCAATTAACGATGTAAACCCGAGTCAACCAACTACACCAAAATATACCCCACCGCCGCGCACGCTGTGTTTTTGTCGCAAAAAGCGACATTTACGCTGTTCAACAGTAGACAACAGCATGCGACTGCAGTTTGGCATCCACCACAACATTATGCACTTGAATTCTGTGCGTTCGGTGGCAGTAAGACTCTTATTACTTGCCTGAGGGGAATACAGCAGTAGCATGCACATGACTACATCCGTAAGCGGCTTGGTGCGCAGCCTGTTACCCGAAGACGCTTGGTGGACACAGGTTCAGCTTTTGAGAACCCACACACTTGCGATCTAAGCAGGACACCCTCTGTATACACCCCCCTCATGCTAACTCTATTGCTTCGAAGGTTTAGTGAGTGGCAGAGATAAGATATCCTAGTTGGAATTCCTCGTGGAATTGATCGTGGAGTTGGCAAGCCAGAAAGTCCCGTGAAGTCGAAAAGACTGAGTGATCATTCTCTCTTTTGCCGCCGAAAAGGGGACGTAACCACGGAAAACGGTGAAAGCCGATTCGATAAGTCGGGTTGCAGAATATCGCCACGTGAGCCGCCAAACACGTCTGTGGCCAACGAGCGTAAGGTTTGAAGGTCATTCCTGGGTTCATTTCTGAAACACCGTTTTCGGTCACTAGAACATCTCCGACACACCTTTTCCAATCGTCTGACCAAAGAGCGACCAATAAACAGCAACACCTAACACCGTTTGCTTGTTGTCAAAGGATCACTCACTCTTTCGACCCGCCATCGTTTCTGCCGAAGCTGTCCTTCTCGGAGTCTCGCAATAGTCTCGCCAACAGCTTGACGTACACCTTCAGCAGCTTCGTTTCCAGGGAGCGCTTGCCTCTGCCTGAAACCTGTTGAATCCATCACGCACGACCGACGTGTGATACGCAATGCTGACAATATTTTTCTCGAGTGAGTAAACTGCAAACAACGCTCATCGCTGAAAAACAAGTGTTGCCGCTGCCCCGACAACACAAATCACACACGGGGTCTGACTACGCCCGGTTCTCGAACCTGTTCGGGTTCCTGACGTCCAGCACTCTTTGCGTAGGCGTTGGCCATTACATCTAGCAGGGCTGACATGGCAACCAAAGGGTTTGCCGAACCAGATGCCGTCGCCACACGGTTGAGTTTGTGCTGCACCTGCTAAGTGCAAATACGGAGCAGGTTGTGATTTATCGCTATGCGTGAAAGAGGGCATAATCATGGCGATTGGGGAGATGCGAAAGACACTTGAACGGTCACCTCTGCTTGTTGATACTTGTCGCGTTACAAGTTTACTGGGAGATTTAGTGATGAGATATATAACGCTTGTACCCACGAGCAATGTCAGATTGCAAGGCGGCTCATGTGATGCTTCTCCACGGCGTCTATGACAGCAGAGATGGTTGAGTCATACAGCCAAGGCGCTTCAAGCAAGCATTACAGACCTGCGCGTACGGATCACAGGACTTGTAGGTGGAGTGTTGGGCGCGAGGACCGATGCGCTGCTCGACCAGCCAGAGGCAGACTTCTTCAAGCAGCGCCGCCAAAGAGGGCGCATCGAAAGACCGGGGTGACAACACGCACACGTCGTCCAGAGCAGTTACCACCTCGGGCGCCAGCTCTAGATCAATTCCGCCTGCAGAAGATTGATTGCGACAACGAAAAGCGTATTCCAGAATAAGTTTTGGCCGCAAAGCAAACCAGAACAAAAAACAGAGCGGGAGCCAAAGATCGAAACAGGGGAACCAATTCTTACCTGCACCTGCAACCTCAGCGTAATGAGCATCACCATCGGCCACTGCAGCACTTCCGGTGAAAGACAGCCGGAGGCAGCGTACGAGGGTTTCGATAAGACGAGAGTGATGCCGTTCCAGGACGGCCTCCCCATCTGTCCCATCAGTCCTTCGGCCTTGCGCTGTCGCCCAGCTGGACAGGTTCTTGATCTGATGCCACGAGTAATAAAATCGATAAATACGTCTTAACGGCATGAAGGAGAACAAATGAAGTGTGATGCGGGATTGGCCGTCACACCATAGCCAAGGGAGCCTACACACAGTGTCGCACATGGAACCACCATATTAAATTAAAAGGGACAGAACAGCTATTTTACTTGAGGTAGTACTAGTAACAATAGCAAGGGTGCTGAGGTAAAATGTAGGACGTCAGCTCATACCTGGTCCACCGCAGCCGAACGGTCTTGAGGAGATATATTGAGCAACGTGCGGCACTGTAGAAGCCCGACGTCGAGCTGAAAAAAAAAGAAGGGAAACCAACGTTTACGGGTGCCATGTGTCAGGCGTCAGTGAGCTAGAGTCGAGAGCTTCAAAGTCTGTGTTACGTCAAATCACGCCCATTGCGCGTTGTGAGAAGCATGCGGCACCAACTGCACAAAGCGGGAAGGTCCAAGAAATGAATTGACACACAAAAGGCGACCTCGACAGGGACAACTGTTGACGAGTAAATAATAGATGGCAGGCTGCGCTGGCACTCTGTCATGGAGGGTACTCGCCATTCAAGCCGAGGGGCTGCAATGACATGACATGTGAAGTTGTGTGGTGCGAACCTGACACACGTCGACGATACCGAGCTTCGAAGCATGATGCATCACACAATTCTGCTTGTACACTGTATGACACAAAAACCAAAACTAGACTTACCTCTGCCAACAAAGAATTGAACTCCTCATCAGCAGCGGTGTTGCTCGTTTCTCGCTGCCGGCTACGCGGCGATAGTTGGACTTCCAGAGCATTGCAGTCGAAGCGGAAAGGTCCCTCGTCGTCACTGCCGGCGTGCCCGCTGGTGTTCGAAAGGGAGCAGCGACTTTGTGAGCGATTATCATCAGTCAACACTTCCATGATATACGAAACATTAAATATTCAGCGTGCTGGGAGGGAAGAATTGTGAAGGCACGGCAGCGTTTCTCTACCTTGGCGTCCATCACTAAGGAATTTCAAACCACCTGGAGGTGTTCAAAAGGGCACCCGAAGAACCGTCGCCCCAGGTGGCATCAGTTCCCAATCCTCCGAGGCTGGCGCGGTGATCGTCATCCCCAGGACGCTCCTGAGTGTCCACGGTCCTAGCTGGCGTCGATGCTGGCGCTTGCGGTGTTGGTTTCTCTACAGCTCCCCCTCCTGGTGAGGTCTCCGGCGGGGACGGCGGCAAGCGTGCTTGCTGCCCTCTGCGTACAAGAAGAAACCGCAACATTAAGAGGTAGTAAGAATGCCGCGAGGGTGGCAATCGATCAGGAGGCCCTGCAACATTGAGCGAAAGCTGGTGCGACGAAAAACTTTGCACACAACCCAAGATACCCGACAACGAATTTCTTCAGGAGCTAGACCTGTGTACCTCTGTTCTGAGTCAGGTATGGCAGGTGCAGCAGCCGCAGCTTCCCGGAGGCCCCGCGTGTTTGCTTGGCTGCCAGACGGCGCATTGCTGATGTTCTTTCGGTCTGCCGCTTTCATCCGCTGTAGGGGGAAGAGCCAAAACAACAACAAAGTGTAAAATAAGTGGTGAGCTCGAGGCGATTTCAAGGTTGGGACGCATAAGAGCTGAGGCTCCCCCCCCCCTACTTGCTAGCGGTAGAACCTCACGCAGCATGCGACATTTTCAAAGTCTTGACGTGAGCGCACCTCGTCGATGAGAGTCTTCGTCTTGTCGTTGACAGCGCCCAGGAGGCGATGAATACGACTAGAGTCCTTGTCGAGGCCCAGATAACAGGCTTCAACTGCATCCAACGCCGCGGAACGCACCTCTGCTTGGTCGGAGTCCACATGCCTACAGCACAACGAGCCAAGGGTGAAACAACATTCGAACAAGGACCGGATCGGAACTACAAGCAAAGGTCAATTGACAAACACACTCTGCATTATTCAACCAACCAACGAAACAATGGGGGTGCATAACAACCAATTACACTTACTTGGCAAGCTCCTTGAGCCCCTTCTTGCCCAGCGCACTAGCCGGTCCATCTGCCCCGATGCAGCGTGACAGCTCCAAGAGGCAGGCGATACGGGTACGACTGTTTTTGGATGCTGTCGCCTGCATGAAGAGCGAAAGATCACGTCGAATGCGGGCGTTCAGAGAGTATTGATCACTGCACGTCGCAACGTTCACACCCGTTTGGAACAGCAGTCCTAGTCACAATACACATGCTAAATACTGAACGTTGACAAAACGCCTCTTTGGGTAAAATGTGCTTATTTATTGGACCCATAAATGAACATGTTGGTCACAAGTTAGAACTCACGTAAACAGACTATTTACGCCTTAACTTACTTGGAGAAGCAGCGGGGAGTATTTGGCATAAGAGCACAAAAGCGGGACTTTGGTCAAGAGCCCGCGGATGGCAACACGGAACCGCTCCTTCGCTTGTCCACTTTTGTCGAGTAACGTGGGGAGGAGAGCATCAACCTCCATATCCTCCAGCCGGTATTGCGCCGCAACAAGCGCATCGAACGTGTCTCCCAGGAACTGTAGAAGCTGAAGAGTGGGTGAAAAGAATGCGGGTTTCAATGTCTTGAGCAACCGGAAGAAAGCAGGGCACAACTTTTGACTTCTAGCTCCGCAGTGTACTTATGTACCGCCCCGGCGTTAACAAGGCCCAACACAGCAAGAACAACCACTCAACAATGAAACGAAGCAACCCGCAATCTTGTACGCTAGAACACGAAAGCACATTTGTTCTTTGATCGACAGCAGTGTGCCACACGAGAAGGAAGGAAATGTCATATCCTTCTAGACTGCAGCAGCATCTGGCACAGAGTTTGTGGCATATGTAGCGCCAGTGCAGTCATACGGAAGTAAGACATTTGGCTCGCAGTCCGATAGTCATGATACTCGGCGCCAAACGCAACAAGAATGGCATCGCGTCAAATCAGACAATGACACATCAACCACCCAGGTTGCAGTTTGCAAGTCCGGAAGAGACAGAAGAGTTGCAACGCTATATCGCAAGCGTGGAACCTAGGCTCACCTGACCCATGGCCTTCACGTTCTCCTTCTCGCAAAGCCGCAGCGATATCCACTTGAAAATGATATCCAGCTGGTCCATGAACGACTCGCGTTGATCGCGCAGAGCACAGGACAGCAGTTCCACCCCCGGAGTTCCGCATTCCTGCATGGTGCAGCAAACAAACAAACACGAACAGGCAAGGAACACTTGAGTGGCCTCCAACACATACCAAAGAATGAACGTTGCCCCGTGAAAAAAAATGCAAACACACGCCCTGAATTGCACAAAGGCACATCCCAATGTAGTTTCGCTCACCGATCCCTCCTCACATCGATCCCTGCTCACCTTCCGGCAATATGTCATTCTTTCTCTGCATGAACTTGGACAACACTGAAGCAAACATAGTGGTTATCGGACACACGCCTGTCGGAAACACGGAACTCGGACTGTGCAGTGTTCTTACTTGGCGAACATTGTGTGCGTCAAGCACCAAGACTACCAAGCGTCAAATAGCCTCCACACGCTTCACACGAATGCTGGGTGCCAAATTGTGGGCACGTACCATGCTCCCGACCCGAGCGGGAAACAGGATGTCGACGGCATCCGACCGCAGAAGTGGGGACCAAAGCGCCTTGAGTGACGAGGTCTGATGGTCTCGAGGCTCATCGGATGAGACGAACCAACGGGTGCGCTTCTCTGATTCGAGTCTCTTACCCTTGGAACTGGTGGAAAGAAGAGGCCCACCAGATGATGAAGGTGTGCCTTCGCTTTCTGACGCGCTCTCTACCTTCTGGGCACTTTGACCAAGCAAGTTAGGAGACGAGGAGGGAAAAGCTTCAAAATGGCTGGACGCGCCAGGATGGCTTGCGGATGTCAGGATGTCAACCACGTCAACCCTACGTGTCGGAACCAGTAATGTCATTCATCAAACCGGTGATCGGACGGAGAAGACAGACACGCACATGGTCGAGCGCAATGGCCGTTTGGTTTGGGCTCCTGAAGATCCCCCGGTGTTAGGCCCACCGCGAACTAGCTTCGACACAACTGTCAGGGGCGCCGCCTGGGTTGCTGCCGAGGGGGCTGCGGCATCTGCGGCCTCTACACCGCCCGAACCAGTATCTCCTGGATAGGAAATACGGCGAGGGAAAGGAAATTGGGGAAGTTGTTGGGCGACGAATGGAAGATCTTTTCGTAATCTGGTGAGAGTGAACCCATGAGTAGAACTCAGCACTAAATACCGCCCTCATTATCTATTCGGCTTCACCCTTTCAGCGCCAAATCGACCTCCCTGGGCAAGGGAAAGAAAGGGTGGTACCGCATTTCGTTGTCATGCAGGACCGAGGAAAAGTGCGTATCGGCGGCTAAGGCGTCTCAAACTCGTGTAATATTAGCATGCCGCATTCCCAACGTGGTACTGGTAAATTGAACATTTTCAACCTTCGCAGTGCCTTCAGACCCTCCGAACTTCAGGAACACACTATCATATACATACAACTCCAAAATCATTACATCGTGAGACCAGGCCCGAACGTCGGGGCACGAAACATGTTTTTAGGTTTTGAATTTCAATATTTCCGTCCTGTCTATCGCCGAAACCGTCCAACCGTCCTGAATCTCGGCAACATATCAGAGTTGCATGATCATGGTCAACAAGCTACTTACACACAAGCTATCATGGCAATCGCACCTAAGTTTTCCAAGATTTTCTCCAGCGCGGGTTTCAGCTGGCGCATTACAGCCGGCTGAAAGTCCCGAGTTCCCGCACGCACGCGAGAAGGTTGCACGGTGCCAGCAGCGACGAGCACGGACAAACATTCTTGCGCTACCTGGCGTGCGCCGGCACTTTTGTCTTGCATGCACACCAGCAAGGGTGACACTAGACTAGTGGGCCCCTGCGGTAAGGATGGATACACAAGACAGCAACAGAATGCCATTGATATTTGTTTCACTTTCACGCAAGTAGAATTTCGTTCATACGTTGAAACGTGAACAAAATACCCGACATAAACCAGTGGTACATTTTCAGGCCATCACAACCCCTTCCAGATACTCGAGATATAGCAGTGTATAGCAGCTTCCGTAGCTCGGCCACCGACGGCCACCACGATGAGATAGGAGGTAGAAGTAGCATTTGCTGCGGTGGAGGTGCAGCTCAAAACGCGCGGTTGCAACGGACGCACCTCTCCCGACGGAATCTGCGCCAAGAACGACTTGAGCCACGTGAGCAATTCAGTTCTCCCCACTGTGTTGGTCATCGCTACAACCACGGGACCGATCAAAGCTTCTGCGGTTGGGACGTGTAGTGCACCTAGCGATGAAACACCAGAGAGGGGTAGAGGACAGGGGAATGGATTACGCCGCGACAACCTGCCATTCTGAAACACTTGTGTGGTATCATTGTTCGCGATGAAATTATCATCATGCATTTACTTCGTCAAAGAAACCTACCTACCACATCCCCATCGATATTCTATGCCTGATTTGTGGCTGAGTGGTTCGGTAGGTGACCAGGTATCCGAATCTCGGTGCAGTCACGGGAAGACGGCTTGTTTGCCCCAAAATGTGGACACAAGGGCAACATTGCATATGTACGCATATTCAACTGCACGGTGGACAAGGGAAAGGAACGGCTGAATCCTTTTCGCGATAAAAATCAAGGCATTCACCGCAGCAGGAAGGTAGATTAACCTCCTGTATTGCTTTCTTCCTGCGTGACCCCGGCTGGTGCGTCCAGAAATTGTACAGCAAGATGGAAGGATTTCAGAATAAATGGGATGCCAAACAAAAAACGTTCCCAACTAACGTGCGTATGGCCTCTCACCTCCCGAAAGGGTCACTTTCTCGAGGGCAGCAATGGCAGCGTCCCGCATCATCTTGCGGTTGTCCGCAACACATGCCAAGAGAGGCTCTGCGTAGATGCGGGTTAGCTGCGAACAGTCGCAAAGAAATGGGACCAGGTAACGCTCAGGCCGGTCCCATTCAGAGGTATATCAATATGTTGTGTTCGTCAGAGAGTACGCGGCAAAGTGACACCTCACACACAGAAAAGGACAAATCTGTGCAGCACGTCTTCTCAATGACACCACGAAATGCGCGCAACTAAACCGGGGGAAAACAAGTCCCTATCAATATCCAGCTTAAAAGAATTGGCACGTATGCATAGCTACAACAGAAATGCCACGCACAGGCACGGGCTTTGTACCTTAGGGGAGGAATCGGCCCCGACGCTGGAAGCTACTTCAGCCAGAGCACTGGCAGCCAAGGGCTTGAGGTTAGACTGGGAATCCGCTAGTCGCGGAGTAAGAGCTTTCAGGACTTCCACCATGAAGCGGTTGGCCTCGAGATGATTCCCCGACCTGAAAACAGAAGAATTGACGAGCTGGTGGGTGTCGAGCACTGCTGACACGGTGCTTGGGACCAAACGCGAAACACGTACGGAAAGTCACGACTCTCGACATGCCAAACCTCCCACAGGCATGGATTCGTCATTAGATGATCCGGGCCTCTCGTGCCCCTGTGAAGAGGAATGTTCATCGATTGGAGAACATGAAATGGATTTTGATCAAGGAATGGTAGATAGAGGTCACAACATTTCGTCATCTGAAAGGAACATTCGGAATATTTATGGGGGAGTGCTGCAATTCACGGCTGTTTCACAAAAGCAAAGTAAAAGTATGCATTGGTGAGAAAGGCCTCGAGCGCGTTTCCAATCCGTATCCAAGGCAAAATCCAAGGGGGCATCCAAGGCAAAATCCAAGGGGGCATCCAAGGCAATAAGAAATTGTTGTTGATATCGACGTGTGCTACCGCTATCTGCTGCGTGTATGCTTCGGGTTCGGAGGTGAACGCTGCAAGGGCGAGTATGGGTCCTCACTTTCCGCATGCTTGCACAACCTCTTCGATTGCCGCCTTCCGCCCTTTCCATGCGTCCTTCCCCTTGATGCACTGCATGCGAGGAAGGCAATCCTGCCACGCAAAGGGTACGGTTCAAGGGAAAATTACTTTATGGGTGAGTTCCGGGTTGCGCATGTCAGAATCACCTCAACCTCTTCCACGTCCCGGCAGGTGCAAACGACAGCGCTGTCCCTATACCCATCTCCACAAAACTAGATGGTAGCAATTACCTTCTCAAGCAATGTGCTGAGGTCGATTCTTGGAAGGCCGCCACCGGCAGCAGCTGGGTCCTGCACTTCATCACCGACGGTTGGTGCTCTCCGTGCCACTTGCGCATCAGCTGTAGGATCATATCCTACCTTACTAAATACGCTATCCACCTGAGGAAGTAGCAGAGCGAAGGACCGCAATCGAGCAGGGTAAGGGTTCAACAGCGTACTGGTGAAACATTATCTCTCAAAACAACCGCTCACATTGTCAGGAACGCTTGCAGGGTTCACAGCACCGATTTGCAAAAAGCACGAAGAGCACGACACTTGGAATCAATCTTGCAAAACAGGTTCCCAACACTACTCACTCTAGCCGAGTGCAACCATGACTGCTGAGCTTCGTGACTTGGGTGCATGTACCTGTGACTGCAGAGCTGCCCGTAGTTCCGGCAGGAGAGCTTTCATGGGCGGGCCAAGACGGTGGTACATACTTCCCAGTAGATCCAGTGCAGAGGTCCGCACCTGGTGGGGGCAGGAACATCAACAGAGCATCGTATGGTTCCTACATGAGACAGAGAGAGAGAGTGCGACGTAAAAAAAAAACTCCTGGGGGAAGTCCAGGGCAACCTCCGCGGGGTCGGTAGCAGTCCCCAATGGTCGCGAGCGCGTCATACACCCCAACACGAACGAGCGCATGCTGATTGTATCCTGCCACTGCGGGTATCTCTGGCACGCGATGCCAGGCCATCCAACTACCCAGGAACCACGATTTGTGCTGGGAACATAATATATATGAAGTGGTACACATGTACCCTTACCACATACCTTGGGGTTAACGTGCTCGAGTTCTGACACAGCAAACGCCACGACGTGCGGCGCAGGAAGAACTGCCGCCCCAAAGTCTTTCACACAAGCGTGGATCCACGTGAGAGCCTCGCTGTGGACAAGAGGAGCCTTTGCCTGTCCCGCGGCCTTCATCACCCTATGCGTAGGCCATGAAAGATCCCAACACATGACATTGGCGGTGAGCGGATAACAACATCCAGTCTTTCATGAATCGACGAGACGTGACACTCTACAATATATGCTTCTAGGCATCGTCACGCGTTGATGCCGCAACAAAAACAGGATTCGGGTCCCTCCACAACATAGTACTTCACCTGCGAGCAACCCAAGAAGGCCCGAAGGACTCGGCAGCGGATGTCAGCAGTGAAGATGTCGTTTCCTGTCAGTCAAAAGCCAGAGCCGAGCACCCCCCGTGGGAATTCAGATAGCGGAAAGTGGACATACGCTAACATGCTCGCCGAGGCAGTGGAGGCCACCATGCAGTCGACAACGCATGTCCAGCCATCGTACCCGTTTGTCGGCTTCAACCGTACAACGAGGGAATCCGATTCCTCAAATACGAAAATCAGACTGTACATGATTTATCTCTACTAGTTCCACAACGTGAGCGAAGCACCCTGTGCCAACGAAAGACTACACCAGCTCGCATTTGTAGCGGCTTGAGCGACTCCACAAGTTGCCCCCCGGCAGCGAATCAAAAGGTAGGTATGTATACAATGTAGCTCGAGATCGAGGAGTCCACAACAGTTCGCTTTTCGGCTACACCATATGGCACGCTTTGACGTTCTGGCCACTCTGAGCCACGTCCCACTTGTGTGAGAGTTTCCCATATAACAGGCAGCAGCCGTGGGCACCCCGAATAGCGACTCCCAACGGGTGGTCTTCTACTTTGATGCGAGGCTGGCAGCCAGCACGGTGAAAAAAAAGTTTTGCCCCAATGAACAAACGAGTTTGACGAGAATTGAACTGGTGGGTCATAAGGAACATCGAACGAGCTAGTTGGGCGTGCTTCTAAGAAATGGGTGAGGCCATGAAATATGATGCCGTCAGAGGCAGTGCATTTTTGGGCCCGTATGAAAAATAAGGGGGAAAATAACACTGAACACGAGAAGGGGGTAATCTTTGTCCCCGCGGGCACGTCCGAACAAAATCTACCACTTTTGAGCAAAATCCTTTCCTTCCATGCTGAAGTAGTTCTGGCAAAGAAAACGGTTGAATGACATTCACGACGAATGCATGCCTGCCGGCATATTCCCGCGAGCTGGGTGCGTTGATATCAAGGGCGCCAAAGCACGAAAGAGTGTTCCCGTTGATACACTCCGCGAGTGGAGGAACGACGAAGAGAGAAAAAAATACGATCGTATAACCGGAGCATTTACTTACAGGGTAACTGCTTTATTCACCTGGAGCTTCCTGTCTCCAAGCTTTTCCACCGCTGGTGCGACCACCGTCGACACAACTGCCTGGTTCCCTTTCGCGACACCGGCCGCGTGAGCAGCTTCCAGCAGAGTGATGATACCCAGGAAACTTGCCTTCAGCACGTTAAAGTTGGAGTCCTTGAACTGTTTTGTGTGCGCCGCCAACACTATAACCACCGGAGTGAGGAGACTTCCAGGATCTGAGGGCCGTGCAGCAACAGTTGTTGTATTGTTGGCAAGTCGAGCAAACAACCGATGCCTCACAAGAACGAGGCTTTTCTGTTTGGCTCGACGCTTTGCAGCAATTTTGCCAGCAATGTGCTCTCCTTGTGACGCGACTCCCAAACACCAAGCTCACCTGACTGGACCCCCTGCGTGATGCGCTCGATAGAGGCCACCTTTTCTTTCCAGGCTGTACCGCGCAGACCAGGCAAGATGCTCTCTCCCCAGCCCTGGCGGGGGGAAATACAACGAAAGAAGTACGACTGCGTAAACACACCAAGGGCAAGACCCTACACAAGTACATATGCATACTCTATTTATCGGTGTTGCGCGGTCAAGGACACGCGGGTAAGGGAAAAGTGGAGACACGCACTCACCTCGATCCCGGCCCCGTCGAGTTTGTCGACCGCCTCCTCCAGCGTAATAGAAACGGTGTCGTCAACAGCGTCGTCACTCTCTGCGCGTTCAAGAAGACCATCACAGAAGCCATGCATCAAAGCGGGCGTGTTCTTCGAGCTGAAGCTACGTATTCGGAAAAGTGCCAGGGGGGTCCAACCGTGAAATTTGAAGAACGTACCACAAAATTGGGCATGAACTTGGCTTGCGCAACGCCCTGCAGAAAGACAACAAGTATACGGGCGGAAAAAGGTCGTGTATCGTGTGTGTCGGCAAACCACAAGAGAGCGGTTGGTCATGGCGACCGTCACCTTTCGCGGAGGGAGCCGAAGGTTTTCGCTGACCCGCCGACGAGCTCGGTGCTGTTCGGGGCTTTGGTTGTTGTTTGCTGGTGCCTCGTGTCGCGGCACGAGCACGCACAGAAGGAGGTTTGGAGCTGGTGCCACTTCCATGTTTAGGTCCTGCTGAGAGCATGAATCCCGATGGTTACACGAGAAGAGAGGTTCATCCTGTGAGTAGAAACCGATGGAAACTTCTTCAAGTGTTCGTCACCCGAAACAACTCGTCAGAATTTGAGAAGCACAATGAACGGGCGACAGTGTCGCACTCGCTGTGTTGTACGCTAGTGTTCGTTCACGATTTGGCCCCCGGCATCGCAATTCAGCAACGAGCAGACATGATCGTGGTCCTTTGTACCTGCGGCTGATTTTTCGGCGGCCGTCGAAGTACTTTTACCCGCAGAACGTTGACCCTGGGGAGGCGCCGACGGCACCTTATCAGGCTGTGTGGGAGTGTTGCTGGCTGCTCCCTTAACCTGGCCTTGAATCCGTTTGAAGGCCCTGAAAGTGGTACGATTGAGGAAGAACATTGTCATCCGTGCTTGCCTTTCTTCAATAGACAAAACACTCAGTCGGATAACAACCGACCGTTACCGATGCTTCAAAGAAACGCCATTAGTAGATATCGATGCTAGCGTTTCTCTCACTACAAGCGGGCACTCAAGCGGGCATTCATACAATATCCAGTGGTTGCTGCACTCACAAAGCTGTAGCCCCATTTCTTTGTGCTTGTGGCCGCGACAGTAGATCCAACTATTTTTTCACTTAGAACCCAACCCAAGCGATGAAAACATGCCTACTGACAGGGGCCACGATGCACGTGCGCAATGAGACGACACGGTTGGTACACACCTCGCATTTGCAGTCTGTAGCTCCAGCACGACCGCCCACACTGGAGGGGCAGGTCCCTTCGCACCCCTGACAAGATAAGATAGGGGGGACGACGAAAACCAAGCAAGTCAAGCAAGTCAAACCCCCGTGTCGAACAGGGTTCATCACTTCCAAGACCCGGCACCCAGCGCAGCGTACAGAAAAAACTAGACTAGCAGCAGTGTATCCACGCAACGCCGGCAGGCTCAGAATGTGTGGGTGGCCACGTGCGTCTTGATTCTCCATGAAGAAGGCACGTGGCCTTGGCAATTCCAATGTAACTGCCTCCGAAGCACGGTACAAGTAGTACCAGTTGCTTGCGAGCGAAACAGTAAACAGAAAAGACAGAACACCGAGTGCGTGGAGTCACCTGGACGCGTTGGCAATATCTGCGACTGTAGCGCTCCCGGCTTCTCGAATCTTGGGGTCCGAATCATCCACAAGGCGGATCGTGGCCCTGGCGACAATATGTTCAGAGAACGAAGTGTAGGAATCTTCGTGAAAAAAACGGAAACATGGAAAGTTAGAGACGGCCACAAAGGATAGAACGGCTGAGACATCACATCAAACACACCCTTTTGACCTTCTCGAATGCGCTCCCTTACTTTGCCAGAGTCGTCAGCGTTGCGATCTCCACAGCAGGCTTGCTCTTGGCCACACATCGAGAGATCCATCGAAGAGTTGCCACGCGCGCGTGTATTGCCTTCTTGGTATCCAAGGCGGCCACTACCTCATCCACCACCTGGCGAGTAGTTTCCAGTGTTCGTTATGCGTACAACAGTGAAACGTCAAAGGGAAATTTTTCGAGGAAACATGACGAAGCACTGTCAACAATGGCTCAAACCACAAGTTGATCTTGGATCTTGAGTCGTGAGCCCCACAAGAATTTGAGCAAGCACGAAAACCGGCAGAGTAGAACGCACTTGGTCCAGCGAGTGCGGGTTCCCGTAGACTCTGTCCAGGCAAGTTCCAAGAACGCCTGCGCATTTCTTGTCCTTGAGCTTCACCAGCATCGCTCCCAGAATGCTTCTGAAATACGGGTGAAAACCCTGGCCAAGTCCCTCCGCCATGAGAGAAAGAAGCCGGTGCGAAGTAGAAGCAACCTGACATGACAGTTGAACGAGCACATCCCGTATTTCAACAACAAAGAGGCCATGTGAAAATGATTCCAGAAGTTCTATAATAAATCCATCGTTACGGGTGTTGATCTGCTGGGAGAAGCAAACTTAAATTTCCATCCTCATTTACTTGATAAGCACATTCCCGAACTCTTGAGTCATGTCCACGCACGCAGACCACCCCTCTATATCATGATTCAAGGCGCTCTCCACCACTTGTTCGGCTGTGACAAAACAGGCAAGAAGGACCTGCGTGACTGCTGGAGTCTATTTGTTGAGCTTACAATTCCAAACAAGCTTGGCCGCATGCATCACCTGAACGTGTGAATGATCGCCCAGGCGCTTCAGCTTTTGCACCATGTCACCGTAGTCGCCCGCAGTAAGCTTAGGCACATCGCCGATCATCTCGATGGCAATGTTGAGGCCCTCCAAGATCTCGCTCCACTTCGTGGCTGCAACCTTTTGGTTGAATTCGGTCTTGGGTAGCTTGGACAGGATGTCAACCTGTACCCATTTATTTTTAACAAGCTGGTTGGAAAACACAAGCCTGAAAAGACTTCCAATGTGAACCTCGCTCGATATCGTGCTGTAAATAGCAGTAGAACGGCGATGTTCCTCTTGGGACCTTGACATGCGCTTTAAGGGGGGGGGGGAAGAGGAGCAATTTGATATTGACGAATTTTGAAAACAAACGCAAGAGGTCCATAAATTGTACAACAGACACACAAGACCAGTCGGGAGGCATCGCGAAAACCAGAAATCGTTGATTTTCGCACAGGACGGCAGTAGAGGCTGCTCAAAACTTATGTTTCACACGTCTACCTCCACAGGCCTCCTTTGAAATCAAGAAAAAAAATCACAAAACTCAAAGTTCAAGTCAAACGAGCCAAAAAACGGAAGGCAATTAAATAAGGTCAGTTTTGAGGATTACGTTAGGCATTCCATTGTCAGCAGTAGAGGACATCATGAAATGGCGTCTTGCGTGCTGGCACGTTCAGGTTTGCTACTGGAGCTGAAATATCGAAGGTCGCAGCAGCCTCTGAAAACAGTCCGAAAATCTGCGCCGGGACCAAGCGGCATCCAACATTTGTCACAGCCATAATCACCGCCACTGACCCCAATCTCCAGAACTGCGGGTTTACCGTAGTAGCTGATGCCACTAGCTATCGCTGACACCCCCGTTCAGGCGTGTACGGTCCGTGGCGATGAGCATGGCTGTGACAAATGTTGGATGCCCCTTGGTTCCGGCGCAGATTTCGGACTGTTTTCAGAGGCTGCTGCGACCTTCGATATTTCCGCACCAGTAGCAAACCTGAACGTGCCGGCATGCACGACGCCTCTTCACGGTGTCCTCTACCGATGACAATAGAATGCCTAACCTAACCCTGGCGGAAAGGTTTTCTTTTTTGTATAGGATTGAAGTATGAGAACAGAGCCAACGTCACAACCCCTTGTCTTCCCCCCCTTAAAGCATGCCCACAGCGAGATGCCACGTACAGGTCGGATATGAAAGTGCAGTAAGAGCAAAATCCTGTGGTTCTCGAACGCGCTCGGGCTGTGGCACATCGTAAAATGTAAGATGCAGCAACGTTGGTCGCCTCCCGCGGTGCACCTCTGACTACTTCGGGGTCAGTTCAGCGACCCAAGTGGCAACATTCTTCTTTGTCTTCAAGAGAAATATCTGGGAGCTTGTGCAGCATCCTGGGAAGCAGTGGGCCATACGAAAGGTGGAGAGTTCGACACGCATTCATGTACCGGTTCGATGAATTCCCTTGGGTCGAACACTTCCTCCACTCCGGGACCCTTGGACTCATCTCCGACTTCGTCCGACTCCGATGGCCTGAGATACAACGCGTCAGAACAATATCGCTATTTGTTTATCTGCCAAAAATGATAATATGATACTGGCCTCACTCAATGGATTATGCAAGCGCCTTAGCTTGTGGTCAGTGCGTTGGGAGTAGTCCGATATTCTAGGCAGCAGATCAGGTAACTGCTGCTGAACGAAGGACGCTTGAGTTCTTGAACAGATCAACATTCACACGCAACCATGGTGGATATGTTGCTGTTCCCCTCCTTTGTCGCCTCCCGGTTACGAAACTATGGAGGTAACATGAACACGACGGTGTCCGTACCACAATCTGCAGTAAGCCCCTATCCGTGGATACAAGCTCTCACCGGTCCTTCCTGAGGTAAAGTGTTGGAACCCGAGGCGAGCCTGTTGCCTTTTCGTTTACAAGGCCATCCAGATCAGTCTTTTGGGCTGATCGCAGCTCCGAAGTGACCGATGCCAGCATGGGCTCACCACACCAGCTGATGATCTCAGCAGCCAATGCTAGCCCCNTCCGCACCAGTAGCAAACCTGAACGTGCCGGCATGCACGACGCCTCTTCACGGTGTCCTCTACCGATGACAATAGAATGCCTAACCTAACCCTGGCGGAAAGGTTTTCTTTTTTGTATAGGATTGAAGTATGAGAACAGAGCCAACGTCACAACCCCTTGTCTTCCCCCCCTTAAAGCATGCCCACAGCGAGATGCCACGTACAGGTCGGATATGAAAGTGCAGTAAGAGCAAAATCCTGTGGTTCTCGAACGCGCTCGGGCTGTGGCACATCGTAAAATGTAAGATGCAGCAACGTTGGTCGCCTCCCGCGGTGCACCTCTGACTACTTCGGGGTCAGTTCAGCGACCCAAGTGGCAACATTCTTCTTTGTCTTCAAGAGAAATATCTGGGAGCTTGTGCAGCATCCTGGGAAGCAGTGGGCCATACGAAAGGTGGAGAGTTCGACACGCATTCATGTACCGGTTCGATGAATTCCCTTGGGTCGAACACTTCCTCCACTCCGGGACCCTTGGACTCATCTCCGACTTCGTCCGACTCCGATGGCCTGAGATACAACGCGTCAGAACAATATCGCTATTTGTTTATCTGCCAAAAATGATAATATGATACTGGCCTCACTCAATGGATTATGCAAGCGCCTTAGCTTGTGGTCAGTGCGTTGGGAGTAGTCCGATATTCTAGGCAGCAGATCAGGTAACTGCTGCTGAACGAAGGACGCTTGAGTTCTTGAACAGATCAACATTCACACGCAACCATGGTGGATATGTTGCTGTTCCCCTCCTTTGTCGCCTCCCGGTTACGAAACTATGGAGGTAACATGAACACGACGGTGTCCGTACCACAATCTGCAGTAAGCCCCTATCCGTGGATACAAGCTCTCACCGGTCCTTCCTGAGGTAAAGTGTTGGAACCCGAGGCGAGCCTGTTGCCTTTTCGTTTACAAGGCCATCCAGATCAGTCTTTTGGGCTGATCGCAGCTCCGAAGTGACCGATGCCAGCATGGGCTCACCACACCAGCTGATGATCTCAGCAGCCAATGCTAGCCCCTGTTGACGCACGGCCACTACCTTGTGCGATAACATGCCTGTGGTACAGAAATAGTATACACGGTGAAGTTAGTAACATGAAACCGTGCGATGAAGGACAGCATCATAGCCCCGATGGCCCCTTCCTTGGCGCCAGTAGAAAAAACCACATTCGAAGGATTGAACAGAAAAGTAAAGCTGCCAAATGACATCCAATCGTGTAGGATACTTATAACAGTTCGATCGAATTGGCATCGCCATGTGCTTCCGGCATCAGCCGTGATACCTGGCAGAGCAGCCTTGAGATCTTTGAGAGGCATTGCTCTCGCTCCGAACAGTTGAATCGCGTTGGCGAGGATGCCAACACAGGCGGGTGGTACCTTGGGCTTCTTGTCAGAAAGCCCCTCCAGCAGTACGGCTGCCACGACATCAGGCGTGTCCACCTGTAACCCAGACAAAAAGGGGTTTGGTGTTAAATCATAGTACACGAGGACAAGTTGGTCGCAATTGAGACGTTAGCGCGGGCACGAACATATCCTTAAGCGGCGGATGCGTACTCCAATTTTGTGCAATCGCTTTAGTCATGCCCTTGCGAACATCGACGAGTACACAAGACTCTGTTTCAAAACCGTCGTGTACCAATGTATATCCTCACCTCCATGAATTTGAGCAGCACTGCCTCTGCCCGAGCTACAGTGCCTGGCCTACCGCTCAAGCCTTTTGCCACGATTCCTGGGGCTAGCTCGGGAGCGTGCTCACAGGCTTTGACATAGCCGTCGGCAAATGCCAGTAGGGCGTCCAGAGCCGCATCGAGACAAGATGCGTTGGAATCTTGCACCATGCCCTTGAGAAAGGGTGCTGCCAAATCGGGAGGAAAGGTGCAACGACATCCTGAGAGAATACTGGCGCAGCATACTTGGGGTTGATGTTAAAAGAACTCTGCCAAACTAAACAATCCCACGCCGCGCGTCGCTAATGGTGCGTGCAGCAAAGGTTCACATTGCGTCGGGCTGAGCGTCTATGGATTAAGGACTCCTTGCATGTGTTGGCGTGGCACACTGAAAGAACAAAAAAGCGTTGAAGATAACGACAAATTCAGATCTGTCCACTCACCGTAGTCGCGAAATACGTCGCTATCGTCCGACATGGCGTGTTGATAGAGACTCAGCACTTGATCATACGCCGCTTTACGATCTTTCCAGTTCTGCCATCGCGGACGAATAGCGATTAGAAGGCCAACCAAATGCACATATGAGCATGTCGAGGTCTCTTGCGAAGTGGGGCTATTTCTGCGATAGCGCCGACAACCGGTGGATGGGTCACGCCGCATTCAGTTCCACCTTCCCTCTGTTTATCTGTACTGCTGACCACATGAAGGTACAGTAGAGGTTCCTGATTAGTGCCGGTTGAAAATTGCCGGTACTCGGTATAGTGCCGGTGTTTTCGGCGGGTACACGCTGAATTTCCAATTCGTTCTCAGTACTTTGAACAGTGCCGGTTCGGTTTAGTGCCGGTGAATTTCCTGGGCACATACCGGCACTAAACCGAGAGACTTGTACTACAGTACTGAAATCATGAACACGACATGAGACCTCGAGGTCTGCTGTTGTAGAGCAGCGGGCAGCCGTGTAGGAAGCTTTACCTTTGAAACGAGCCGACCTTCCAGAGGTCCATCTTCGCCATTATCATCAGCGGCACCTCCGCTCTGTGACGCGACTACAGGCACAGCCGGTTGCGGCGCTGCTGTGGGAACCGCTGATAAATCATCGGACAAGGCAACAGCGGGGGAATGTTGTGCGAGGTTCATCCAACACGTCACATGCCACCAGTTAACGTCAGCCAAAGCAGTTCCTTGAACGTGATGTATCACGCAACTGCCAGCAGAGGAGTAACTACGTGAATGTGTCGGGTGAGGTGATAAACATTGCGTCGTAGCGACGGCGGTGTCTGGTACGCAAAAGGTTGGATTTGGTATTTTGGCGAGTGGAAATTGCCCAACGGCAAAAACCTTACGAGACACAAAGGAGTGCAGCCAGCAAACGATGCTCCTTGTCCACAGCGTGCGAAACTATTTATCGCGAAGGCACTTGAAACTGTTGGTTTATATTTCGGGGCGATGTGATTTGACGTACAGCAGCATACAGCATAAGTAGTCTGCCGCAGTAAATTGCAGATGCATGCCGTGATACAAGGCCGTTGGGTGTTGCGTAGCATTTGAATCTGAAGACAGTACTGTAGATGTGTCAACATCTCGCTCCATCTGTCGCACAAACACCTTTGAGGAAAAACGGCGTATGCTTACGACGTTACACTTCACGATCACCTTCTTTTGGAACTGGAGCGGCAGCAGGTCGAGGTCGGGGATTGGGCTTGCGCTTGGGAGTGGGCTTGGGTTTAATCGGCGGTTGGGGCTCTGACGGGGAGGTGGAATCGTTCCCCTCTTCTTCCCCGTAGTCAATCGCAGACGAAAATTGCTTCAAGTCCTCGACTGAAAACTGCGCAGACGCTGCCGCACACTGCGGGCAAGTGCAGTCCATTGAGCGCTTACACTCCATGGTGCGTGCAAGTTTTCTGTCCCGGAGCGGGCAGACCAACAAACGAAGGATGTGACCAGGACATACACACCACAGCCCACACAGCCAGCAAAAGCAAGCACAAAGTCGCGAACGGGGAGCCCCGCGGATTCATGAACTCAGGAAACGTTCCTAACAGTGAGTACCCCACATCAGTTGCTTTCCTTTCGTTTTCTTTTTTTAGTATGCATCTCCCTTCTTCCCCTCGCTCCTCGAAAAGCTTTTTCTTAGACATGGGTTGTGGTGAAGGGGGGGGTCTTTCTGGCGAGCAGGGCTAGA